TACACAGTTTCCTCATTCCCTTTTCTCTTTTAGACGAAAAGCTTCTGAGAAACCTGATGAAGTAAGTTTTGTGCTTAAAGATATAGCTCAACATTTTTGGGAATTTCCCTTATTTTCTTTATCATCGAGAGCTGGTAGAAAAGATACCAGTTTCAATTCATTCTTTTAAATGTGAGACTCAAGCCTAGAGAGATATCCAACCTTTGAAAAACAGATGATAACAGCTAAACTAACAAGTTATTGACAGATCTTATGTTTAGCATAGAGATTACAGACCTGATATAAAACATGGACCTCGCCACAGTTACCTGGACTTATTTTTTTAGCACTGTAATTGTTGTTGCTTATTTTTTTTGGAGCCAGAAGTTATCATTTTTGGATCAACGATTGGAGTCAAACTGGGAAATTGCATGCATAAAGTTTATCTGTGCATCACATGGCCATGGATGGCTTCTCAGTGCTTGGAGCTAAGTAGCATATAAATAGAATAGCAAAGATTCACTCACCAAAACTTCAACACTGTCTTATCTGATGATTAGATCATTTACACTAAAAAGCCCCAACACTTGTCACTTGTCAGTCAGCACATTCATGCCCTTAGTAACGCATGACTTAAAGGCGCAATCCAGTTCAGCTGATGAGTTATGAAAGAAACTCATCCCCCACACACTAAAGGGATAAATAAGCTGTGGAGAACAGGGTGTAAACACGACTTCTAAAGGTCTAAATCTGAGCATTTTAACATGGGACTGACTCAGTGTTAGCACTGGTCTCAAGCGACCAGTCCAGGAATTGTAGTTTTTGTGTCATGAACTAGCTGTGTGGAGGCAGATGAGGACCCAAACCCAAAACTCACAGAGACAGGAACTGAACTCAAAATCACTGCTTTATTGCAGGCCTTACAACGAAACAGAACTAAACTGGGAATACTAACAGAAGACCGAGGGAACACAGAAAGACACACAGGTTCAGGGAGGAGACATTGATGACGCAACCCTGAACTGAGGGAGACATGCACATAAATACACAGAGGGTTAACGAGGGAAGTGGAAGCACACGGGGAACACCGCTGACACAGATAATCGGAACGAGACAGGGCAGGAGTAACACAACATGACACATACTGATGAGAGACTGTCAAAGTAAAACAGGAAGTACACAGAGGTTCAGACAGGAGGAGAGAGAGCGCACAGGCATAGCGGGCTGGGGAAAACATTGAATGAAACACAAGGAGGGGAAACGAGGGCTCACAGATACACAGAGGGGCACACAGGGGGTAATCAAATAAGGAACATCTTTAACAGAACCTAGGAACCACGGCATAAGGAACAAAATACAAAAATACAAGAAAACTAAGAATGCTGGGCCAACATGGCCCAGGACCATGACATTTTGGCATTTTGCTATTTTTCCATTTGTTGCTGGCATGATTGGTATCAGTGTTTAAATAAAGCTCTAGAAGCGTGACTAGGATATTTTCCAAAATGTGCATTGTTTTAAGGATGTTTTTTAAATATTTCAGAGATGTATGAAATTACTTACGGTTATTAACAATACTCAATGTCTGATAATCAATATGTCTCTCCTTGAAGGATGACTCAGGTGGTCGGGGATCAGGTCAGCAGAACTCAACAGGTATTAACACTGATGCTTTATCGGCTTTATCTGCACATATTTCAGTATATTTTAGTCCGTGGCGTAGCCCCGTTATCTGATTGTAAGTATTTTACTCTGCAAGATGCTGTGAAGAGGCCATGGGAGCGATCCAACTCTGCAGAAAAGTCCTCACTGGTGTCCAGGTCTGTAGATAAGAGGAGGAGCAGGAGGAGCAATGTTCTGAATATGAAATAGATACCAAACCTCTAGCATTACCCACAGGGATTTAGGCATAAATTTGTTTCACTGGAGCAACAGTGAAGTGTTGAAAATTCATTTTTATCAATGCAAATGATAAAAATATGTAGCCTGTTCTACTTCACTGTCCACTGTGTTTTTAGTCACTTCACCCATTTGCCTTTCAGAGTAAGGCCCATCGGCAGCACTAGTGAAGCAGACACAGAGTTTGACAGGATGAAACAGGTTGGTTTAACTTCCCATGTAGCATAAAGCGCATTATGGGTTCACCCTGCGAAACTGAAATGAGACTCACGAGCTTGTTTACTGCCCCGCAGGAGATTTTGGACGAAGTCGTGCGTGAGTTGCATAAAGTGAAAGACGAGATCATTAACGGTAAGCAGCAGCCGTCCTTGTAAAGTTAAACAGCAGTGTAGCCTTTTTTTTTCTTAAATTGTTTTTTTTATTTTCTCTCAGCCATCAGACAAGAAATTGGCAGAATCAGTACATCCTAATCTCATCCAAGCGTACAGATGGAAGAGGAGGAGCAGGAGGAGGAGAGCGACGGAGGAGCTGGAGGAGGACGGACACGCAGATGCACAGACGCGAGGACCAGGGAATGTTCTCTCAATGTTTCTGTGACCTCATAGACGCCATCGTTCGAGTTGCAGAGACGTTGTGGCAACATTTAAGTCTGCTGGACAGCAACAATAAAAAGAAGAAACAGAGACAAGAGAGCGCGGATTAACGAGAGGGACGAGCAGAAGAAATGTGGGGATGGATTAAAGGAAGACTGACGTACAGGTTGAACTCAAACAGAGGTTGACAGATGGACTAAAAGAAGAAGTGAGGAAAAGAAGGACGTTCGTGCTGAGTTTTGGTGTTGTGGTCCTCTCTGTGCACCTAGACTCAGTCAGCCCAGTGTTGCAACTCTTTGTTTGCCGTTCAGTCCAAGTCTTAAGAAGAAAATATTTTTGTTTTCTAAGTTTTTACTGTTTTATTATTTAAAAAATGTGGTGATAATGATGATGATGCTGTTGATGACAATGAGTATTTTATTGATATTCTAGAGGGAGAAAGGAATCTTGCACACCCTACGTCAGCCTTTTATATTTTCTATTGTTTTTGTTTAGTTTATCCCTAACTCGTTGACGATAACAAGCACAATATGGGCACAGTGGCTCCGCATACCCACCTGCCCTCAACTGGCATATTTAAAAAAAAAAGAAAGAAAAAAAAGACTTTTTACGACCTTGCTCATACTGGCGTTGTGTATCTAACCTTTAAGAAAAAAATAGCTTAAACCACTTGAATTACCTTAATTTCCACCATATTTAAAGGCATAACAATTTTTTTTGTTTTTAGCAATGAATCAGACAACACACAAAAAGTCTGCTCTGCAACTCCAGTGTGACCGAGGTTTCTCTGTAACTGTTCGGACGTGCGAGATCACTGAAACTCGGGGATCATTCACAAAAAACAGGCCGATAACTTTAAATGTGCCACCTGGTTTTACCTAGGTATAAAAAAAAAAAAATGTAGTATTATATATATTAGTCACCCTATGCTTTGTGAACCCCACCCCCCACCAAGTATGCATGAATACCCCATCTCTATGAATAAGTTTATTTGGTTTGGGGACAAAAAAAAAAAAAAAAAGACACACACATGCAAAAATCTATATAAACGGTGGTACATTTACTATAGTGGTTTGTTTCTATGAACGTTCCCTTTCTACAAGATGTTAACCTTGATGATGGTAGCAATGTGGGGAGAAAAAAAAAGTGAAGAGGATTGGTTGCTCTGGCAATATGCAAACCTAGCTAAGTGCAAGAGATGAAAAGTAGGCCTTTGTGATGGTAGCTAAATGTGTATTTGCAGGAAGGCTTTGGATGAATATCAGTTGTTGCATTCTGTTCACTCTGTCCGCTCTCAACTACGTTCTCATTTAAAAAGCTGGAAGTAAATTCATTCATTCAAAAAAAAAAAAATTGTCAGCTACACAGTATCCTGCTCACTGTGTGTGTGTGTGTGTGTGTGTGTGTGTGTGTGTGTGTGTGTGTGTGTGTGTGTGTGTGTGTGTCTCACTATCTTCGAGTTTGTCTTAAGCTTGAAGGCATATTTTTCTTCGGATACCACAGTGACAAAAGCATTAACACACTCAGGAATGCAGAGTTTCTCCTTATAAAGACTTTTTATGTAGTGCATTTTTTTAAATAGAACTTTTATAAACAAGATAATGCTTAAGACTGAATATACATTAGGTTGAACAGTCAGTGGGTGGACAAAACAACACAAACCCTGCATAAAAACAGTAGCCATGCTTGTAATTTACCGTTTGTGGTGGCTTGTGATTCTTGTAGATGCTTTCTTTTTCACCCCTGTGCTTCTTGTCATTTCACACACTGGTATTTTATTCTAAGGATAAGCGGACGCGAATGGATGGATGGATGGTATTTTATTCTTTATACCAGTTAGCGTGTCACTAGAAAATAATTTAAAATGGCAAACACTAAATCCAAAAACAGAAAAGCTGTATGATCAAAGAGTGGTCATAAGAGGCTCCTTAGCAACACCGATGTAAATGAATACTTCATGAACATGTGTTCAACCTGAAGAAACACCAGTATGGTCATTTAACAAGCCTAACACTCTGAGATAAAATCCTTGTACGGCGATGCAGCTGCAACCAAGCAGAACGAGGCATCACAGAAGAAAAGGCTCCTCTTACTGGAAGGTAAGTTTCAATGCTTATTTTCCACTTCAGCATTGTTCTGCATGACGGATGTGCAGCTGCTAATCTAAGCGATTGTGCTTCTGCAGAAACTCTCACGAGGCTTGACGAACGCTTACAATCAGGAAAACTAAACGGCATGGGGTAGTGACATCTCCATAAAACCACATGAGAATGTATGTGACCTTTATCCCGAAGTTATGGCTTTATGTCGCCTTCAGTCACAGATAAGAAAAAATTTACCTTCTTTTTTTCCGCAATTCTTCTTTGTGCTTTCTGGGTACAAGTAGATTTCCACATTGCACAATGACACTGGCTGTCTTTTTATAGCAGGAATAAATAACATCCAGTCATATGAGGTGAAATCTCATTTGTGTAAAATATGCAGCTGAAATGTGCACATTGCCTTATAGTAACACGAGTGCAGCACTGATTAGATAACAATGTCAAACATGTTATTGGGCTTACGTATGGTAACATCCACACTATGCAACAAAACTAGACTTTCTGTTGTGGTTAGCCGACGTCTGACAACTACAATTCACATTCTTGCTTAGCAGATCAATCAATCAATCGGAGATCTATTCCTGTTTGCTCAGCTTGTACTCCCGTTTGATTCTGGAATAGGGCCCGATGCTGTCGTCAAACACAAAGTCCCACAATACACGGCTCCAGGAAGTGTGTTGAGGCAGGGAGTCGTAATACTCGGCTGCGATTTCCTTGACCTGCCAGTTAAAAAATAAAAAAAAACAGAAGTTAAAAATGAAAGAGAAGAAATATCAGTGAGAAAGAAGGTGGTGTAGAAAGAGTAAATATTGCAAATGGTGAGTGTAAAGCCTGCATCTGAAGTGCAGAGTTAATGTGTTTAGGATTTGAGGGCTTTTATTTATTCGACCTAATTCGACATGACTGTATTTGACTAGAACAAGTGCAAACAGAACAGCATATTGTATGATATTACACAAAACAGTACGTCGGGGTGAATGCAGCTCGACATATCCTGACTGAAATCTTTTACTAGACAATGAAAAGGGGGGCGTGAACGGGGGTTAAAATGTAACTAAACAAAATAGATTTTTAAAGAGTTCTTTAAACTCGTGGTCAACAAACCTAAAGGCAGTTAACTTGTATTAAGTGCCAACACTGTCCTGATAGAGGCGGCAGTTAATCATTTAAAAAACCTGCCCATTAAGCTCATAAATACTTGCAGTTAATGGGAAAAAGAAATTAGATTTTTGGCATTTCCCAGTGTCTGTTGTATTTAGGTTCTAAAAGTCAGGAGAGGCCCATATCATCTGTCCACAGTATTCAGTGATATAACTGTGCTCATTTTTCTACGCTCAGTACATTCAAGTCCAAAGTTATAAGTTATACTGTTATAAATCTATTTCTAACAGTAATATGTTCTCACCTGAGGTAGCTTACTGCCGGGTATGCTGGGAAAGTCGTGGTGCTCCATGTGATACCCAACATTGAAGGTAATCAAGTTCAACGCTCCATAGTAGGAATAGGTCTCATGTCCTTTAAGGAACATGTAGTGCTCAGCTATGAAATGACCAGAGATCGGATGCAGTCCCATACCCAAGATAGATCCTGCAATGAGGTAAACGATGGGCTTCACCCCCCATAAATAGTAGATAATTAGGTCTACTACAAGCTGAACCATTGCATTCTGGATCTCAAGCCGACCGACTGGCTTTGGGTTGACCACTAATGGGCGCAGGGCGTAGAATAATGGCTGGAGGAAGAGCCAGAGGATCTTCCTGGCTGGGGTGCAGAAGAACCATCCCTCAAAGTCTGTAGGTATGTCAACATCAAGCTGGTCCCCTCCAAGATACCGGTGGTGGTCGATGTGGTACTTTTTGAAGGCGGCAGAGTAGGGCAGCCCGATGGGTAGGTTGGCCCACATGGCGAACCAGCGGTTCCACTTCGCCAGCTTGTTACCAAAAGCCACGTTGTGGGAGATGTCGTGGATAGCCAGAGTCAGGGAGTGATTAATACAGCCTCCAAATGCATAGGCCCAGAAGAAGATCCATTTCCAGGAGAGGTCCTGGACCAGGAAGCAGGCCAGGAATTGGGTCAGGACCATGCCCGATACCACCCACTTCAACTGGGGGTCTGGACCCATCAGAGACTTGATCTGTGGATATTTGGCTGAGGAGAGAAGCAAGAAAAAAAGAGGGATGGAAAAGAGCAAAGGCAGGAGTAATGCGATTGTTGAAAAAGAAAGAAAGAATCGCAGGAGTGGCAGAGGACATGTGAGGAAAGGGAATAATAGATTAAAGGAAGCAGTGAAGAAAATGAGGATAAAAGAAATGAATTAATTATTTTTTCTGAAACAGTGACTTGCACAGCATATGTTTCACAGTAAATTTCCTAAGGTTGCTCTCAGCAAACAAGCTGTGAGGTAGCTGCCCTTCTCTTGGGAAAACCATGCTGAGAAAAGTCAGCTTTAATTGGCAGAGGTGTTGTTTTGCTGCAGGAAATGAAACTCAGGGAGAAACAAAAGAGCATTTGAAAAATCATTCTTTTTTTTCTTTTTTTAAAAAAAAAGACTTTTACAATTAAAAAAATTTAAATAATTAGGTCATACAGGTTCTGATTTGTTGCACTGGCCCCACCTTATGGGAACAGCAAAGAAATTTGGGCAGGTAAGTGAAAAAGCTTTGTGCCAAGTGATTCGGCTACTAAGACTTTACAATCACACCATACAGAGCATATCCTATCATGCATTACATCAAAGTTAGCCACACACCATCGCGGGATGTTGCATGCAAATCTGACCTACTTCCTTAGTTTCAGGTTGTGTAATGTCTCTATGCAAAACTTTCTTACCTTGGTGACTAATAGATTAAAGATACTGGGGCTGGGTCCCCGTGACCGTTTCATATTTTGATAGTCTCCTCTACGGACCAAATCCCTTTTATTCTATGAATGTTTACCCAACAAGAATTCCCTGTTGCTTCCCTGCAGTCTCCCATTGTGAAACAATCATTCATCAACATACAAGCATTACATCAGCATTAGTATTGCTTTCAAATCTGTGGCTCAATGTGAGCTCACCTCCAGAGCGTCCTTCCCTTTTTCCTAATTAAAGCCGTTTATGGACCATAAATTTTCAGATGCTGTCACAGCCTGCCTCCAGGGTATGAAGTTAAATCAATGACCAGGCATCATAAAACTCCAGTAATAACTTCTTAATGTGCCCATGCAGAACACATGTTGTAAAGCCATTAGAGAATTTTGACTTCATCATGTCAAACAAGAAAGGCCTTTCATTTGCCTTACTGTTAGATCATTTTCCAGCATAGAGTATCAGCCAAAATTAATTCACACATTATTCTGTTCAACATGTGGTGGTTGATCACATGTGTGGTCTCATAAGCATCTGTAATGGCAGGTACTGCTGTCCTTTGAATGTGCAGTATAATGTTAAGTTTATGGCCTGTGAGTCCCGCCTGAACCTTCAGTCTGCAGACGTGGAAAAAACAAGCCATTTAATTTATTAAACTGTTCAAAAGGTGCCCCTTCCATCAAATGGTAAAGTAAAAGGATCTGAAGCACAATTACCTCTAACACATTTCTCCACCACATCCCTGTCCCCTCAGAGCAGAGGACAATAAACAGTTTAATAATTTAGGATTTTGTAGTGTCAAGAAACCCACCACCTACTAGGTGTGTCTTTCACACCCAAGTAAGCATGCAAATACTGGGTAAAGCCAAGATTAAATACACTTCAGCAGCAGAGCTTTTAAAATGGATCAAATGACGGATCAGATAACCTATTAGTTTGTGATACATATTTTATAGGCAAGGGAAAAATAAAAAGAAATAAAATGGAAACTCCAAACAGTTTGGATACATTCTGTTGGCTCATTCGTGTCATGATTAAAGGATTTCCCAGGAACCTGTAAAACCTTTCTTATCATTTAAGGAGTAGCATTCAGAGTGTGACAGTCATGATTTGGAAAAGTGAACTGTCACTACATTCCTATTATTTCACAAGTTAGGGGGTTTCGAAAAAAAGAAATGTTGAAGTGAATTAAATGTGTCACTATCACGAGCTTGAAACATGCTAATCCTCTTTCATAACCCGTGTTTCCTTTTAAGAAATAACTGACTTTAGTTTTAAAACCGCAATCAAAAGTAAACATGAAGACTGCAACATCAGATTTGAAATTCCACTCACAGCACGCTGTACTCGTATTTATTTAATTGTTCGTTTGCATTGATTTTAACTGGAGTACACTCCAGGTACACGCTATACCTTCGCCAATAAATACACGGATTTAAAGTAATAAGTAAATCGATCTCGTCGCACCTAAAACAGTACAAGTATGCGTAACTTCAAGTACAAGTAATAAAACTATGTGTTTATCATGAGCGGCATGTTCGTTTCTACGTTTTCACTGCATCCACTGTGAGCTGATAGCTCGTTAAGCAACTGCTTGTAAACAGGTTTAACCGGCTACAGTTTTATAAGTAGAGTATAGACAGGGAAAAAAAAAAATTTGACCTCAACTGTTAACACGTTGACTTCTAAAGCGCAGTTTCTGGCGGATTTTAAAAAACAATCTGGACTTTTTTGGGTTGTTTTTAAAAAAAAAAATCTTCTGTCATTTCTTACCCAGAATTTCCTTTCTTCTTGAAGTGTGCGGCTGGTCAGTGTAGACCCATTCAAAGTCGCCTCTTCCACCTGTCTTCCCCATGGCTATCTACTCTGCGTGTGAGGCATCCGGCTCCGTGTCATCAAACCTTCGAAGTATCGGGACACACCCACCTTGACAGGTTGCAGACAGAAGGTTTAGGGTGTGGTCTCACGCCCCTCCTCCGAAAGTTGACGCAGGGCAAGCCTGCTTGTGCACCTGCTGAAATGTATGCAACCCCGCAGCGAGTGTTTTCTGTCGTGGAGACTAGAAACCTTTTTTAATATGTTGTATTAAGGGGAGGTGGGACTGTAGTGGTACTACAGTAGGCATATACTCTCAAAGAATGAGTGAAGAATTTAACTGGAAAACACACACAGCTTACACACAGTTACATATTGTAACTGTCAAGGTCAGAATTTTTTGCTTTAAGGTTAGATATCAGTGTTTATGTGCTTCTTTTGTTACATTTCCAACTCATTTGTTTCCACTACACAAATTATCTGGCATGGAAAAAATAGCAAGCTTTCCCGCTTTTCAGCTATTTGCTGCTTTTTTGTTTGATGTATTTGTAAATTGAATATTTCTAAGTTTGATAAGAAAAACAAAAACAATAACTTGTCCCCTTTATTTAATTTATAAACTGGATCATCAAAAAACGCATTTTACTATATGATAAAAAAACCCACAAACTGTGAACCCATAATGTATAATGATGTGTATGTTACAAATAAAGACATTCATAGAAGATGTGTATTATGCACATTTATATTTATTTCATAAAAATGTGTGTGTAATAATCTGTGAACTAAACATAATCTACCTGTCAGGGCACTTTTTCCTTGAATCTCGCGAGATTTCAGAACTGGAGCGTTGTGGCGGCGAGAATACACTAGTGAGACTGTGGAGTTGTTGTCGGAGAGAGCGAGAGGGGGGGCCGATAGAGAGTAGAGAGGAGGGAAGGCTAGAGTGTAAAATAAATAGCAATAGGAAGAAGCAATACACGAAAGTTATCATGGCATCGGGGGACACCCTGTACATAGAAACGGATGGCTCAGAAATGCCGGCCGAAATAGTTGAATTGCACGAAATCGAAGTAGAGACAATCGAGACCACAGTTGTTGGAGACGACGGTGAGCACCAGCCTATGATCGCCTTACAGCCTCTCGATACAGATGATCCGAACTCGATTCACCCGCACCAGGAGGTGATTTTGGTGCAGACGAGAGAAGAAGTGGTGGGTGAGGATGACTCCGAACTGCACACAGATGATGGTTTCGAGGACCAAATTCTTATCCCAGTGCCCGCCGTGGAGGAGGACTATATCGAACAGACTCTGGTTACTGTGGCCGGGAAAAGCTCGTCAACAGGCCGGATGAAGAAGGCTGGAAGCGGAAAGAAATCGGGCAAAAAGAGCTACCTGAGTGGGGGAGAAATGGGCAGAAAATGGGAACAGAAGCAGGTCCAGATAAAGACGTTGGAGGGGGAATTTTCAGTCACTATGTGGGCATCGGGTAAGTTAAGTGAATTCCTGCAAGCTGGCGCCTCGCTTTGTTCTCAGGATGTGTGTCGTGTGACTGGGCCCTGCTGGGGCCTTGTCCTCCGCCAAAGTAGGAAACATTCCCCAACTCCGAGCCACTTAAACTCCATTTGAAATGTTTTTGTTTTTATGGGAAGCCATGTTTTATGTGTCGATGGGCGCCGCCATATTTCCCCGGTCTAGAAAGTATGGCGGCCCGAAAAAATGGCGTTTATTTGGCCGACGAAGATGGCGGCGAGAGTGGGAGCGAGTGCAGCTAGCTCCGCTAGGCCGCTGTGGCGCAGTTCAGTTCAGCTCAGCGAAGTCGGTGGAGGTGGTGCATTCAGGAACCCCTCAAACATTACAGTTTTTCCTCTTTAGTCACGCGTTTTTAGTCACATGATTTTAAAAGTACAATAAACTATGTATTTTGTTTCGGAAACTGTATCATGTTTTTTAATTCTTTGCGTGAACCCTAAAAAGTGTGATTTTATCAGCTTGATATAGAAACTGGTTTTGAACTGGCTATTCAACACATGGAGAAAATGAAAATTGAGATGATTAAAAAAAACACTGAGTTTTAATTTAAATTTTATTTGGAAAACATTTTTTGTAAACTTTGTGCAGCCAACCTCACCTTACTTGCGTTTCTACAGTGAATCGTTATGTATTTAACGCAAAATCTTTTAAATTTTCTGTTTTTCCTCACATTTTATGTTGAATAGACTGTCACACAAATGCACCATTCATACTGTTTGGAAAACTGTTTATAGTGTACTTTTGAGATTAAACCATTTGCAACTCAACAGAAATCACCTATTTAGCAACAACCGGATTTTCCGTAATATTTAAGTAGGAAATTAGTGAGGGCACATTGAGCTCAAAATGCACTGTTGTAGTTATGGATTTCTTTTAAAAACTGTTCCTCTATCTTTTAGATGACAAAAAGGACATAGACCACGAGGAGCAAATCACAGGAGAAAACTCTCCTCCAGATTATTCGGAATACATGACAGGGAAAAAGCTTCCTCCTGGAGGCATCCCAGGCATTGACCTGTCAGACCCCAAACAGCTGGCAGAGTTTGCAAGGTAAGTGGTGATAATGTTGAAACACATTGCAGCTTTCAAAACAAAACTGTATTGGCTCCATGAAAGACAGACAAGCAACACTGCTGAAAACTCTGCAGACCTGATAGATTAGATGCAGTTTTGCACACTCTAGTTTTGTTTTGTGTGAAGTGCAACATTGAGCATAAATGCAATTCCACTTTAACACATGTAAATGCATGCATTTACATATGTTAAAATGCAAAAAAAAAATAGCACTGTATGCAAATAAATGCTATTTATCTGTTTTCTGGGGGGTTTTCTAATGCTAGTTTACATGCAGCTAGTTTACATGCAGCTACTTCCATTTCTGTTGCAGAATGAAGCCGAGAAAAGTAAAAGAAGATGACGCGCCCAGGACGATAGCCTGTCCACACAAAGTGCGTGTGCTCTGCATGTTGCAGCTCAGAAGTTTGCTGATTGCTGTGTATTTGTTATGACACCTCTTTTGAGAATATGCAAGTGTGTTATGCATTGGCATGCCATTATGTGCAAACAAGTTAAACTAACTGTGTTTCCTCTTCCCTGTCAGGGATGTACCAAGATGTTCAGGGACAACTCTGCAATGAGGAAACACTTGCACACCCACGGACCTCGGGTGCACGTCTGCGCAGAGTGCGGCAAAGCGTTTGTCGAGAGTTCGAAATTGAAGAGGCACCAACTCGTACACACGGGAGAGAAACCTTTCCAGGTGAGGTCTCACACGTGGCAGGCTGTCAGTTATTTGGCTTTCTCAGACAGCCTGCAAATATTTACTTTGATTTAATAGTAGGACATAAAAATACTTATGGAAGTGTTTACCTTACTCGGCTGGGTTTGTGTGTTTTAAGAGTGGTTATATGCAAATTTTGCTATTTCATCATAAGGCTACTGAGCTAAGTTATACATGAGCTAAGTTGAGACATGAAGTAGCATTAACACTCTCTCTGTCTCTTTCCCAGTGCACATTTGAGGGCTGTGGCAAGCGGTTCTCCCTGGACTTTAACTTGCGCACACATGTGCGTATTCACACTGGAGACCGTCCGTATGTTTGCCCCTTTGATGGCTGCAACAAAAAATTTGCCCAGTCCACCAACCTGAAGTCTCACATCCTCACACACGCCAAAGCCAAAAATAACCAGTGAATGAGCCGCGCTTCAGACGAACGACAACACAAGGAAACACTGGAGGATTTGACCTGTATGTCCGCTCCTTCGACAGCCAAATGATCCCTTGGCCTGCTTTGTTGTGACATAAGAAGTCCCTTTGTGTTGCCTCTAGGGTAAAACGTTTAAACGGAAAAAGGCGTCTTCACAAACTTTTTGATACACAGAGGTTTTCAACAAGCAACTTGTGAGAACCCCAACCCCCTCAGGCCTCTTACCCTACTTTGGCTCTACCTGGATGGAACAACTTAACAGTTTCTTCTTGTGGAGATGTTATTTCATGGATCTGCACCCAAGAAACTTATTTATATCTTAAGACGAGCAGTTTAAAAAAAAAAAATGTTTTTGCAATATTCTTCAAATTTGCGTCAATCCTTAGCAATGACATATTTTCAATTTTGTACTTTTCCCCAAGTGTGCATATTGTACACTAATGAACAAAGCCCTTTTCAGACATGGGATCTGTGAAAGTAATGGTTTTCTGTCCTTCAAATGTAGGTCATTTTTATGTTTATGTTTTTCTCAAAGTTTTATTTAGACACACATGACAGTGATTGGCAGAGTCGCAGTACGCATGCAGTACTTGCCCTTCCTGGAAAAGCCTTGTTGACTCTGTGACAGCAGGTTTTCTCAGGATCGACTCTTTTCACTGTGTTTTTAGTTTCTTCTGTCATTGTCACTAAGAGCAGGTTGTGTGTATATGTGCTGCTCAGAGAGCTGCACACAGGCTCAGAGAAAGAGAGATGTCTCTTCTGTTTATTGAAAGAGGAATGTCTTTATCATAAATTAGAACCTGATTTTGGAGAGATTTGTATGTATTGCTGTTGAGGGCATTCCCTCATGAGTTCAGCTTCAAAGAAAAGTTTAAATGGAATCATGCAGTCAAAATCACTCAGATGCTCCTCTCTTAATTTGACTGCATGCATTCAGATTTGTCTTGAAAAGTTAGAAGTAAACGTTTCCAGGTCCGACCTAACAAGATTGCCATTTAAGGATAAGTGAACATGCACTTGGGCAGGTGACGCATTCAGGTGCCCTCAAAATTAAAGAAAGGGATTGCATGTCTGAAAGGGGCTGTAGGCTCTGTGGTGATGTATGTAGTCAGATTGTCTCTGTAGCTCTTCTTCGAAGAGGTTTCGGTTTGTTTTACCTCCTCCCTTTCTTCCTCACAAGTGTGTTTCGAGGATGTGACTGGGTGGTCTCTGCATATTTTCATTTTCTACAACACAATATCCTGTAGATCATAGACATGTGATTTTCAATAGTAATCAGTGATTAAAATGTTTCCCCCTTGCACTACCAATGCAAAACGGTGTCATTTGTTCTCAGTTTGAAATCATTCTCAAATATTTTATACTTAATTTAAAAA